ATGTGAGACACTCAAGCAAGGAACATCAGTTCTTTAGAAGTTGCCTCCTGGTTGTCATAGTTTGTCCTTTTCAATGAGCTGTTCCCAAAGCCTGGACCACAGATCCTCACCACCTGGAGGCTGCAATGCCCTTGTGCCCAGCTGAGCACTGCAGGCTCCTGAGCCTGGCTCCATGGCTGGGCTACAAGCTCCTCGCGTGGAGCTGCTGTGTGATTTGCTGCTTTTGTGTTTCTGAATCCTCCCTGGGATGTCTTATTTACATGTCCAGAGGAGGAAAGAGAAGAGGAGAGTATTGCAAAAGATCCCTTTATCAAGGAAGGGGCTTTCAAAGAGCACATTTGTGAGAAGCTTTGCATCGGGGCCGATCACTCTTCTGCTGCATTTCATAAATTTCTTACTGTCCACTGCTAGAGATGGAAATCACAGAACATTTGTTTGGGGCTACTGGCCAGATAGCCTGTAACTGCCTGAGCACAATGGTCTCTGAAACACCCATGAGGCATGGGATGAAAAGGTGCTTCCTAAGTGATCTTGGCCCAACTGTCACCCAGAGGGTACCCTAGAGTTTGTTTCTCCCTGGCATTGAGTGTTTATTGTACTCCAAGGCTAAAAGCTCAGCTTAGACTTGGAGGTGGGAACTTTGTTTCCATCCTGTCCCATCCTGGAGCCACTTGCTCATCTTCAGGAGAATGGTCTGTGGTCTCTGTGCTGTGCTAAGGCCTGTGGCTTGATCAGAGAGAATGAGCCTTAACAGATGGGAAGGATGAAAAGGAGCGGCTTGGTTTGGGGAGCTGCTAACCTGGCAGGGTTCTTAGGGATCATTGTGTTTTCTTCCACTTTCTGAATGCCAAATGGGGCCCCAGGGCCCTGGAAGAGTGACTTCAGCTCCAGGGAGTAATGTGCTCTCATCATCTAAAGGATCAGACCAGTGTTTTTATAATCCTGGCTGCCTCCAGGTGAAGGTGCTGGCTGCCTTAGTACCCGTTGCATAAATGCCCATAAATACTGATATTCTTTTACATTGCCTATTAAAGAGAATGGCCAACTCTATGAAACCATTTTAAATAAATGTAGATTGCCTGACTCCCTAGCCTCTTTTTTTATCCTCTGATCCTCTGGAGCTTTTTTTTCCCTAAAACGAGCTTCTTTCCACCCATAGCGCAGGAGGCCCCTGAGAGTGGCTTGGGCTCCTGCTCAGCTCCCTCTCTGCAGAGAGGCTCCCACCTAGTTCTTCCAAATATTTCTCTTCTGAAGCAAGTGGCAAGAAGAATGGGGTCCAGAGGAAAGAGAATTGGAGCAGCTGAGGAAGGGCAAAGATGAGCAAGGAAAAGGAAGATCTGGGATTGAAAGAAAAGGGAAAGATGAAGAGAGAACAAGAAGAGGATGACATTAAACTTGTCCAAAGGACAGGGATGTCATAGCCCAGTGCCTCTCCCCACTGCCCGGTCTGGCCAAAGCAGTCCCTTTCTTTCATAAAGATTTACCTATGTTTCCAGCTACAAACGAAGCTTCTGTTCTGCGTTCTACTGTACTTCTTCTACCCTTCCCAATGGCATGGATCACTTTCAGTCTAATATTACAGATGTTGTAGAAAGACTTGGAGGTCAAGGAGTTGTCATTTATATTTCTGTAAACCTTTCACAGCACAGAGTATAACTTTCAAAAGGTCAAAAATGTGATGTCATCTCAATTGCTGCAGTTTAAATGTGTCCTCTCCAAAAGCCAGGTGTTGCCAATGTGATTGTATTGAAAGGTGAGGTCTTTAAGAGGTAATTAGACCATGGCAGCTTTTTCTTCATGAGTGGGAATAAGGCCCTTATAAAAGAGGCTCCAGCTGTGTTTGGCTGGCTTGCTCTTCTTCCCTGTAAGAACACGGCATTTGTTCTCTCTTGCCTGTCTACTTCAGCCATGTGAGAACAGAGCAAGAAGGCCCACACCAGATGCCAATGCTTTGATCTTGGACTTCCTAGACCAGAAAGGGTAGAAATAAAATTCTGTGTTTTGTAAAGTACCTACCTTGTCTGCGGTCTTCTGTTACAGCAGCACAAATAGATTAAAACACCAATCTAGAATAAATGTCTGTCAAAGACCGACTTCATTATGAACAAGGGAACATATAATAGTAATGCCAGTTCAAAAGCATTTTTAAGAATTGGATATTTCTAGAAATTTTTGGGGAACAAAGTGTTAGAATACGATTGCTAGGTTATATAGAACATTGGTTAATGTTCCACAGAGCGATGAAACCACAGCTTCTCTAATGACAGAAATCTACAGGCAACATTGCAGAGTCTGGGCTCTAATCAGTAAGCAGCAGTGTCAAACAGATTGATTCTCCCAGAGATCTGAAAATCCCGGCAGGCCATGGGGTGACAATGGAAAGACATGCTGTCAGTCACCCCTCACTTCCAAGTTTGGGATGATGTTTCTTTACATAAGTGTTCAATAAATGTTTAGTGAAAGACTGCGTGTATAATAAAGGAATCTAAAATCATGTCCTATAAGTAAACAGATTTTTTCTATTTCTAATTCTCATGATCTGTTCAGTGCAGCTCTTGGGCCCTTTATTGAACTGTGGAAATTTGAAGGAAGCAGGCCCATAGACATGAGAATGGCTTTTCATATTGTACGATTAAACATGACTTATATTTTAATAAAGTCCCGGGTCACATGTGTGGCATGAAAACAGCATTCAATGCTGTCGTGGAAGTCACGTGACTATGGTGCTATTAAAAGAGTGTATTTAATGTAATTGCATGCAGGCCTCAGCTTTCCTCCCCACTTCATCTTCTGTTTTATTAAAAATAAAACTTTCTATGTCACCAAAATATTAAATCGGGGTTGTAATATTAGCTGTTATCCAAATCTAAATTGACTCTGGATCATTTTACGTGGTGCTTGCAAAAAGGAATGTAGTAAAATCCAGGTCTCACATAAATAGTAAAGTCCAATTTAATGGCAACAAACTAGGAAAGTTTTTAAATGACCATTTAAGAAACATTTTGCTAAGTCCTTGTTTTACTCCTCCACCTCCAGTTCAGTGCTAAGAGGCCAGAGCTTAGCTCAGCTAAGTGCAGAATGAAAATGTTCAAAAGTCACCCTCACACATCCATTCAGAGGCCTATGCATCTGTCTCCTGCTTGACAATGTGTGCTGGTGAGGGTGGCATGACTACCTGCCTGGCTACCCTGTACTACATTGGTCTCTGGCATTCCGTGGGGTGGGGGTCACTGAGCAAGCCTGCTGGGACCTGCGGCCACTGGGTCTTTTTCTCCAGCTTTCTTTTCCTAGGTGTGGTTCTTCAGTTCCCCAGGATCACTCTCATGCTGCAAGGCTCAGCCAGCCCCGGAACACAGGTTCATTCCTACTTCTTAATCTTTCAGGGGCACAGACATCTTTGAGAATCTGTAGAAACTTAAGTTTAGGTTCTTCCCTTCAGCTGCAAGCACGCATGTATATGTCTCCCCTTTGCAATATAATCTGGAGGTTTGAGGTAATGAAACCCTGTGAGGGTCATTTGGAACCTGTAAGAGCCTTACAAGAGTGACAGATGTTCCTTTCAGGTGTTTGCACACAGACAAGCCTTCCCTGGTCAAAGAAAGTATCTCTCTTTGAAGAACTTTGGATAAACATAAAGAGGTGAGCTTGGAAATGGGGGTAATGACAAGATCAGTTACCCCGCTGGCATGTGAGGCTATCTCTGGCTTGCCCCACCTTTTCTCCAGGATGGGGCAAGTCCCTAAGAACCTTTCTTCCCAAGGGAGTATTGTAACAGCTTATGTGCCAGGTCCACCAGCTCTCCATCCCATCTCTGATCTTGTGTGCAGTGGACTTCACTAGTCACTTAGGCACAGGTGTGTGCAGATGTGATTCCCTCCTGAAGATTGCTCTTTTTTTTTTTTAACCCACTTAGATGCACACAATGATTTCATCCAGTCCTTTGTGTATGAATTGAAACTCAAGCCAGTACAAAGCAAGCAGAGACCCAGAACTAAGGGATCACCAGCTTAGCAGAAGTCAAGGCCTGTTCGGGATGTGAACAGGGAGATAAGTTTGGAGAGGTAGATTGAGGCACTAAGGCAGAGGCCCTCAAATGCTGAGTCAAGGACTGTGGCTTGTGCTAATGGAGGTAAGATAAGACATCACTTGTACAGTGAATTATCACCAATTTCACATCTGTTTTGCCTATTTTTATTTTTGTATATTTTGATATTTTTATTTTGTATTATTTTGATATTTTGCATATTTTGACTTTCTCAGCTTCTCTCAAAATAGTAACACCCATATTGTATTGCTGCCCAACCCACAGACATGCCCAGCCTCCCTTGCAGCTACACATGGCCATGGTTGAATTCTCTAGCTTAGAAGATGCATGAGCAATGCCTGTGATGCCCTTACAGTGGAGCCCTCATGCCATTCTCTCTGAAGAGCTCAGCCAATGCAGCTCAAGCTCCAGCTCTGTTCTGGACTATGAGGATGGAGACTGGGCTGAGTGTGACAGGGTAGGTCCCTGGCAAATTGATAGACCCACCAACACAGCCCTGGGCTGGCTACCTCATTCCCTGCTTGATTTCTTTTATGTGTAAGAGAAATCAATATCTATCACGCCAAGGCCACAGTTACTCAGGGTTCTTGATTATGTAAGGAATTCTATAAATACAGTTTATCTGCCTCTCATCTATTTACTTTATTTCTTTCATCATCATGATCTTTTTTTTTTTTTTAGGATACAGGGTCTTGCCCCACTGCCCAGGCTGGAGCACAGCAGCATGATCATAGCTCACAGCAGCCTTGAACTCCTGGGCTCAAGTGACCCTCCTGCCTCAGCCTCCCACGTAGTCCTATTTTGCTTAAATGCCTCTTCTAAAACAATTCATTAGGTTTTGGATTTCTCAACTATATCTTTAAACATCTTTAGCTTCCTTTATTCACTTTCAATTTTTCTTACATTGCACATTGAACATTCTCAATACAGATAAATTAAAGGAACGAATACTTACTTGTCCTTTGGAGATTGTGGCTGTATTTTCCCTTGTTTGGGAACATGGAGACTACAAACACAGGAGAGTTGGAAGTGAGAGTTGGAAGACACCACTGCAGAGTTCATTTACTTCACTTTCCAACTAATAAAAGAAAAAAAATCTCCATTTGCTAACATTTCCCGTCACATTACAGCTCTACCCTTTCTTCCTTGTTTTCCCTCCCAGACCCAATAAATATGTCTTTCACAACACCTGGAAAACTTTGCCCCAAACAGCTTAAACCACATCCTCCCTCCCTTCAGATCCACCCAAAGAGGTGATGGCTTCCAGAAGACTTTCCTTTGGCTATAAAACAGAGACAGGCTGGCATTCCGCACTCATCCCACATCCGCTATTCAGAGTTTCATGGGAATCGATGTTTCTGCTGCCACCACTCCCAGCAAGGGCACATGTTCCGAATGTGAATGGTGGCTGTGTGGCCTCAGCAGCTTAGAACTTCTCCCTCTAGGGACCAGGGTATGTCCTGTGCCTTGAGCTGCTCCTCTGACTATGGATGGGAACATGGGGGACCGGCAGGGAGAGCTGCCAGCCTCCTGGAGGGGTTAACTCCACACACAACCCCAGGAAAGATCGGAAGCACCAACTTTAGCACCCTGCCTCACCCGATTCATTCCTCCACAGCCTCAGTTGGGGTTCCATACCCACCATTCACTGAAACTCATGTCTAGTTCACCATCAATCCCACGCTCTAACTTCAGGACATTGCTCGCTTCTCTTCAGACTCCTGGCCTCATGCAGGGACCTGCCCCTCGGTCTTTTTGGAAGCCTACCCCAGTCCCCCACACCCCCCGGGCTCCAGACACAGCACACATCCTGTCTTTCTCCTGCATCAGTCACTTTTCCTTAGTCTCCGGTGCTGGCCTCTCCTTGACATGACTTTAAAGGTGGGAGATGCTTGTGGCTGGAACCAGGCCTTGTTCTTCTAAGGGAGCTCACCCAATTTCCTAGGCTTCAAAGGCGTCTATGTTGATAACTCCCACATTTCTTTTCCAATCCCTCCACTGAGCTCCCAGCTGAAATTCCTACCTCCTGCCTGAGAGCAGCTTTGTCCCCTGCCACCACCCAAACCTGCTGCTCCTTTCTGTTTAAGGCAGCAGCTCTCATCCTCCCGCGTGTCCCTATGGCCCAGGAGCCCTCTTTTCTTTTTCCTTTCCTCATCTCCTGTCTCTCCTACCTCAGAACCTCTCTCCAGTCTGTCCATGTCCCTCTATCCACTTAACCTCTATCCTCCTTAGACTAAGTCAGCCCCCTCCCCCTGAATAATCGTGACCACCTCATTCATGCCCCTCCACGTGCCTTCTGCTGTCTCTTCCCCATACAGCATCCAAACCGAGGGCCTAAAATGCCAGTCACGTTACATCACACCAACTGAGAGCCAGCATAGCCTTCTTCCTGCTCAGCGCCAAACTCCCAAATGCCTCACAATGGCCTCCAGAGGGCCTGCCCTGCCCCACGAACCCTACCCAATCTTCTAGCCCCACCATCTCACATCCTCTCCACTGCCCTCCAGCCACACTGACCTCCTTGCTGTCCCCACCAATGCCAAGCCCTCTCCTATTCCTGGAGGTTGCCCCTGCATTTCCTCTGTATCCCAGTCCCCATTCCTCATGGGACTAGTTGGTCTCTATCCCAGTCTCAGATCACACTGTCTTCTCAGAGACACCTCCCCAACCCACTGTGTCAGTGGATGGAATGCCACTATTCTTTTCATCTCACCACCTTATTTATTTCCTTCACAACGACTCATCACACTTGAGAAAAGTGTGTTGTTCATGTCTGCCTCCCTATTTGCTGCCTTCCACCCTGCAGCGTGTAAGCTCCAGGAGGCAGGGCCTCATGTACCTCCTCCTGGTGCATCTCCTGCGTCCCCAGTGCCTAGCAGATGCACATCCGTGTTTGCTGAATAAATGAAAGCCCAGGGGAATATTACCTTTTTTTTGAGACAGGGTCTTGCTCTGTCTCCCAGGCTAGAGTGCAGTGGCACAATCATGGCTCACTGTAGCCTCGACCTGCTGGGCTTGAGCAATCCTCCCACCTCAGCCGCCCAAGTAGCTGGGACTATAGGTGCATGCCACCATGCCAAGCTAATTATTATTATTATTATTTGTAGAGACAAGGTCTCACCATGTTGCCCAGGCTGGCCTCGAACTCCTGAGCTCAGGTGACCCTCCTTCCTTGGCATCTTAAAGTGCTAGGATTACAGATGTGAGCCACCACACTAGACTGGGATATTACTTCTAAGAGGAGTTTATGTGCCAACCTGTATACTAGTCCCATTCACTGTCTCCTTGAATCAGCCAAAGTAGGGTTACTTTCCCCATTCTAGGGTTGTGGAAACTGAGGCTTGGACATCACTGACTTGCCTCTGCTCACCTACTGGCTTCGGGGCAGAACTGAACTGTGTCCCATGTTTGTTTGGCTCTGCTACACCGACTGTCAGCAGTGAGAACAGAGCATTTTAATAGAAACGCTGGGCCTATTTTAGTCCTCCTCTTTGTTTAAAAACAGCAGATGATCTAAGACAAAGCCCTCACCTGGGGAGACTCTTCAATGACCTCTTTTCCAGAGCTGCTTTTAGGTGGTTGCAACTGGTCACAAAATCCTGGGGCAGTCCTTGCTCTCAGGACAAGTATTTTTTTTAGCAGTGTGTTATCTGCCTCCAACCAGCAAAAGCTAGTGGAGGACAGGTGGACCCAGATGCGCTGCCTTTGGAGGAGCCTTGAAAGCCAGCACCACCGCCTTCCTTTCATTCTGAATGCTGTTGACCAAAGCCTGCCAGGTGGGGAGGGGAGACCCATGGACCAGAGCTCTCCCTCCTTCATGGTCTCCAGTTAGATTTGTATGTGTGAGGCCCGAAATGAAAAAAAAGGAAGGTGAGTGATCCTGGATCCTAGAAACTGAGCAAGTGGATGGATTCTGTGGGAGCTGCAAAGACAGGTACAGCCTACCAGAAACCAAGGGCCTTTTGAAAACTTAGGGTAAGTACAGCTCAAAGGATTTCCAAAACTAAACACACCAGTGTTCATCCAAATCAAGTGACAAACTGTTACCAGTGCTTCCAGAGTCCTGCCTAGGCCCTTCAGTCACCTTGATCCCCAGTCCCTTATGTTCACCACTCCCCTGACCCCTGACCTCTGACCCCAGAGAGTCAGTTTGCCCTTTTCTGTGCTTATGTAAATGTAGCCATGTAGTCTGTAACCTTTTGTGACAAGCTTCTTTCATCTATTTTCTGAAAGCATTTGTTCATATTGTGAGTTGTCTATTGCATTTCACTGTGGGCAGACACCACAATTTGTCTGTTAGCTGTATGGTTTTAATACACTTCTGATTAGTGTCACTTTCTAGGCTGGATAGAAACCAAATATAGTTTAATGTAGCCACCTCTTTAAAGATTGGGGCCACTCCATAAATTGCCTTTCATGCAACTAATATCTAGGAAACATCATCTCTCCTTCTTTATCACTTTCTTTTATGCAGATATATTAGAACTATTTAGGCTGTGATCAGCCTTCACCGTGCATGGTTCTGGAAAAGGCACTGGGCCAAGCCCTAGAAAGAGGAATTTCTGCAGCTGAATCTTATTGTGGATGAATCCATTCCAGTGACATGGAATTAGAAATACCTGCCCTGCCTCTTCCCAGCTCCTCTGAGGATCAAGTAGATATTACAAAACTGTTAACATTGCATGATACAGTTTCATAAAAAAGAGACACATATGTATTCTATTTGGGCAAAAGAAAAAGACTAGTAAAATACACCTCTGTGAGTAATAATGTTATAATAGAATTTTTCTTATTTTTTTGCATTTTATAAAATCCATAGATTCAACTTGGAAAATGCTTTACTTTTAAAATAGGAAATATGCTATCAAAGTCACATAATATCTCTAGAAGAGCATTGAGATCTATAAATTACAAAATAACTGAAAGCTATTATATATTGCTTGATTAGCTCATAAGGAAGGCTGACTTTTTATAAAACAGAACTTTTCTTTTTTATAATCTATTTGGCAATGCTAGAACAGAAACAGATCCTGCTGAAAAATTAAAAAAAAAATAAAGTGCTTCGCAGTTCAGGCTGCCAAGATATAAATGGAGTCTGCAATTCCTCATATTACCTTTCTTAACAAGCAGGTGGTTGTTGGGCATGAGGGTTACCTGTCTGAGGAGTGCCTGTGGGCTGTGCTGTTTTATCCTCTAGGTGGTTCTCGGTAGATACATGTTCTTAGGCATCATGATGATATGGGAACAAAATAAGGTCTCCTAGGAAAAGCAGAGTGGACAAGAGTCATGCCTTGAATTGGAAGTGAGTACATCTAAAAATGGGTGGAAAACTCTTCCCATCTCAGTAGATAACTCAGAACAAAAGAACAGTCTCTCTCTAGGGCTTGACAAGCTCAGTTTCCATTGTCTTTTACTTGGAAAATCCAAGTGAAGTCTATAAAAAGAGGGGATTTTATTAAACTTTTTATGGCTATTATTTTCAACCTAAGAAGCCCTTTATTATTCCCAAAGGTCCACTTTTAAAATAATCATCGTTTAAACATAGTGTGGCTTGTATGATGGCAGCATGTACGTCATCTGGGAGCTCCTGAGAAACACAGAATCTTAGACCCTGCCTCAAACCTCAAATCTACTAGATCAGACTCTGTATGTTAAGAAGTTCACCAGTGGATGCATAAAATTTGAAAATCCCTTCCCAATAATGAAATTTAGGAAAAAATAGGTAAGATAGACAGAAAGACTATTTTTGTGTGTGTATTAGTTCATTATCACACTGCTATAAAGAACTACCTGAGACTAGATAATTTACAAAGGAAAGAGGTTTAATTGACTCATAGTTCCACATGGCTAGGGAGGCCTCAGGAAACTTACAATCATGGCTGAAGGCAAAAGGGAAAGCAAGTACATTTTACCATGGCAAAGCAGGAGAGAGAGAGCTAGCAAAGGGGGAAGTGCCACATTTCTAAACCATCAGATCCAGATCTTATGAGAACTCACTATCATGAGAACAGCATTGGGAAAATCTGCCTCCATGATCCAATCACCTCCCACCAGGATCCTCCCCTGACGTGTGAGGATTACAATTCAACATGAGATTTGGGTGGGGACACAAATTCAAATCCTATCAGTGTTTGCCTCCTGTTTTTCCCCCATGCATTGATTTCTTTTTACGTAATCATCATCACACTGTTGTACAGTTTTGTAGCTTGCTTTTCACCTCACTTCATCATAAGCATCTTTCTGTTATCACATCCTTTTTCATAAACATTTCAAATAGTTGCCCAATAGTCCATTAAGCAGATGTTCTCTGGTTAATTATATTTAATTACTTCTAGTGAGATGCTTGGGTGATTTAATTTTTTTATATTGGAAGTAAATTAGCAATAAAAAACTTTGTGTCTAGGAATTTACATATTTAGGACTTATTTTTTCTTGGAGAGATTCCCAGAATAAAAAGTTTAAAAGTAAAGCTTTCTTCTTTATTATAAAACAAATACATTCTTATTACAAAAAGTTATTAAAATCTGAGGCTACAAATTTTTTATGTGATAAATTTGCATAAAGCTACACAGAGATGAATAGGTATGTGTAAAAACTGATGAAATTTGAGCAAGGTCTGTAGTCAAGCTAATAGCATTGCACTGATGTCAGTCTTCTGGTTTTGATGCTGTACAATGTTATGTTTCTGAACGCATTCACCCATACTGTTGTGGGTAGTTGCAGCGTCCGTGTTCTCATTAGACTGTCTTATTCCATTGTGTGTCTGTACCATGCAAGATGTAACCATTGGAGGAAGCTGGGAGAAGTGTACACAGGATTTTTCTGTATTATTTTTTAAAATTATTGTGAGTCTGTGATTATTTTTAAATAAAAGGTTAAAAAAAATGAGAGAAGAAAAAAAAGCCCATTACTCAAGCACATACCCTGTTAATGTTTTGGCATATTTCTCTTCAACCTTCTTTTATGCATGGTTAAAATGGTAATTTAAAATAAAAACCATTTTAAAGCCCTTGATCTGTGCTGTACTTCATTGGGCATAGCTTTGAGAAGATACTAAAATAACTAGAAGACAGTGAGGAGTTCTGAGAGGACTGTGGCTGCTGTGCAGACAGGCTTGAGGTGGCTGAGGACCCCCCTAAGGAAAACATTCAACGCCCATCAACTTTGAAGTTCTGCTCCCTGCAAGCCATTTCTTCACTTCCTTCATGCACCTATCCTATTTTTTCATTGGATTACTCAAAGAAACCTGTGAAAATGCAGGGCTTTTTGACAATGGTGTAATTGCTTTCAGGGAGTGTACACAGAAGCAAAAAAACCCAAAGGTCCTTTAGCTAAATGCCCAGCTCTGGTTCTTAGCTGTATTTGCAGAAAGGATACCAAGAAAATGACTGAGGTGGTTGCATTTCATTAATGCCCTGACTCCTAATGGGAAGCACTTGAGTCAACAGCAGTGGAAAACACTCAAACTCCCTTCAATTCCACATCTTGCACATGCTTACTTGCCAACCTCATCTCCATGACAACCAAAGAGCATTTTTCAAAAATCAGGTCAAATGGCACTACCTATGAGACCCTGGCTTCAGCAAGCCCCAAGGCCATGACATGCCCCTGCCTTGTGCCCCCTGTCCTGTGCTCTTTTATATCTGACCTGCTGCTGCTGTTCGGTAATTTACGTAAGTGCTGGGCTTTCTCCCCATAGGCCCTGGAAGCTTGATGTCCTTCTTCCTTGTTAGACACCTTCTGCAGTCTCCCACACATTTAGGAATAGGTTCAACAGGTGTTTATTGATGCAGGGAAGGAAGAAAAGAAAGAAGGAGGGAAAGAAGGAAGGAAAGAGAGAGGGAAAGTTGAGAGGAGGCTGACTTACCCACTAGGCATGGTGCCTAGAACACACAAAAGGTTTACATTTCACTTGAAATCAAATGAATAAAACAGACTTTTATGTCAAAGAAGAGGTTTTAATATGCAAAATGAACATATTTGTCTTTATACTAAAGCAGTCATAAAATATCTCAATACATTTTTACAGAAATAAGGGCCCTGGAAACTCATACGGTGGCCCTGGCCAGGGGTACCCCACTGTGGCATCAGGAGTTTTTAAACCTTCCCAGGTGGTTCTAATATGTAGCCACGGTTGCAAACCACTGGCTTAAAGGGTGTCCAAGTGGCTTCCTACCATTAAATAGTTCTACCTGGCCTCCCCTGAGTCTTGCCAGAAATTTCAAATCTAGAAAAATTAGAATTGAAAGTGAAAAGTTTTAAATTAAGTTGGAAACTGGTCTCCAAATCTCCATTCAAATACTTATCAAATGTTGCAGTTACCAGAGACTGAATAGGCTTTGAAAAAGTGCATTTAATGTGTGAATAGAGGCAGGAGAGATTACTGGTGGTACCATAGGCAGTTGGCATCCCCAGGCAGCTGGGAGTGTCTGCTTAGGCTAAAAAGGGGGCCTGCTGATGGAGAGGGACCCAAGTGGCCATCTGGACAGCTAGCGGGCCTTCCTATGTATATGGGCTCCAGGGGTTTCCAAAGTTATCCTTGTTAGAGCGTAAGCAGCCTCAAGGCAGGCAGGGTAATGGGTTGGTCATTATTACCCTACTTTCAAGGTCAGATTAGGGCCACACATCACAACAGGCCGACTGCCCACCAGCCAGGCAGTGTCCTGCAGCACAGGTGACTTTGCTAACTTCAGACCCTGAATTTCAGTCAAAACAAAAGATACTGTCAGACTGTGTTTGGGGAGAAAATGAAAGCATTTTCTCAATCTTCACCAGCTTTTGATGACCAGCATTGGAAATTGCCATGATTTTCATAATGGTGCACCAATGCCAGGGCACCCATATCTGAAATGTTTAGGTAGAAGAAGCAACAGGTGATTATTGGCCTTCCCTTTGGGAACAGGCTCTCTGGCAGGGTCCACAGGGCTCCACCCTGGCTACAGGACCACAGCTCCTCCTTTTGGACAGAGATGGCACTTGCTATGGAGCCCAGAGAGTATAGACACTGCCCTCTGTCTCCTCACTCCCATTGCTCCTACCCCTTGCCCAACAAATAAAAAAGAAAGAGAAGAAGAAGGAGAACAGGCAGTTCTCCAGCTTGGAGATCATCTGTCTTGCTTCTCCTTCCTGGCAAGACTAAATGGCGTGCTTTTGCAATGGTGGAAAATTTTATGGTGCAGTGACAAGAAAATAAATACTTAAACTTTTTTTTTTTTAGTTTAAAGGTGGGCATAACGCTAAGAGATTAGTGCAAAGTGTGATGCTGTTCCCAAAGACCTGAGGGCCTCATTAAAAAAATGAAAAAAGAGGAACGACTCAAGATGGTGCTGTGAGAACAACCCAGGATTGAGGCTCTCGCTGGATGCGCAGAGTAGGTGAGTCAGGGACGCATTTCCAGACGGACCTTTGTTGCCCACAGAACGGGAAAATTCCCAGATATAAAACAAACGCGGGACGCCAGCCAGAGATCTTGACTGGTGTAGCCAGCAGCCGGTGGGGCTGTGGTCTGCGCCGGAGCACAGAGGCGCTCCACAGAGGTCCGCACAAAAGCGCACTGTTCCAGGTGCCCTGTTGAACTGGCAACCTGAGACCTGAGAGGGCTGAACTTGAGACTGAACGGGACTTGAACAGTGAGCCAGCCCGGGACAAAGCGTTAGGGGTAGCGCAGTGTGACAAACAAAACGGGATTCCAAATGCTCGCTGTTAGGAGGTTACCTTAAGGCGCAGCTCCGTGCCGGAGGGGCGTCCACCATTACCGAGGGAATCAGCCCCTACTGAGGTACACGCCCATTGCTGACGCAGCCTGCCGTTGCCGAGGCAACCCGGTACAACAGAGAGACTCAACCGCAGGGCGGAGCCCGCGGCTGCAGGGCGGAGACCCCAGAAACAGGGTAAACCTCACACCAGCAGGATGGAGCCTCAGCAGGACAAGACTGCCTCCTAGCGGGGCAGGACAACCCGGCAGACACTCAAAAATAAAGCAGCAACCCCTTCAGAAAGAGCAGCTGAGAAAAAAAGTGCTTTTTTTTTTTGAGTTCTGTTGCAGCAGAACTAAACATAGCAGCCTAACTGCCCTGAATGAACATCAGAGCTCACAGCTCAGCACTTGAGCTCCTATAAAGTACAGACTGTCTCCTCAAGCAGCTCCCTGACCCCTCAATATCCAAAAGACTGACATTTGGCAGACATCATTCTGGGACAAAGATAGCAGAAAAAGAAACTGGTAGCACCCCTACTGTTCCGCAGCTGCTATAGGTGTA